CTTCTGATGTCACCACCATAGTTGTTGCCTTGCCTCAAGGGCCTCCCTCATTCCTTTCCTGCTGTAGTCAGTACTAACCGCTTCCCCTATGTCCACCCAACAGATCTTGGTTGACTCTGTATGTACATGTTTCATTAGCTTACAGCACTCTGAGGGCAGAAAACATTTTAAAAATTCTTTTAAAGCTAACATTTACTGAACACTATGTCAAGCACTAGAATGAGAGTGTTAACATGATCTATCTGAATCCCCATGATGATGCATGAAGTTGTTCAGCCGCTAATTCCTGTTTGACTCTTTGTGACCCCGTGGACTGCAGCACACCAGGATTCCCTGTCCTTTACTATCTCCTGGAGGTTGCTCAAACTCAAGTCCGTTGAGTCGGTGATGCCATCCCACCATCTCATCTTCTGATGCATGAAGTCAATACTATTATTACCCCCACAGTACAGATAAGGAAAGTGAACCACAGCACGCCAGGCCTCCCTGTCCATCACCAACTCCTGGAGTTCACCCAAACCCATGTCCATCGAGTCGATGATGCCATCCAATCCAACCATCTCATCCTCTGTCGTCCCCTTCTCCTCCTGCCCTCAATTTTTCCCAGAATCAGGGTCTTTTCCAATGAGTCAGCTCTTCGCATCAGATGGCCAAAGTATTAGAGATCCAGCTTCAACATCAGACCTTCCAATGAACACCCAGGACTGATCTCCTTAAGGATGGACTGGTTGGATCTCCTTGCAGTCCGAGGGACTCTCAAGAGTCTTCTCCAACACCACAGTTCAAAAGCATCAAGTCTTCAGTGCTCAGCTTTCTTTATAGTCCAACTCTCGCATTCATACGTGACCACTGGAAAAACCATAGCCTTGACTAGACAGACATTTGTTGGCAAAGTAATGTCTCTGCTTTTTAATATCCCATCTAGTGCCTCACACAGGTTCAAATTCACACACCTAGTAAGTGTTAGAGATGTCAAACTGTCTCCAGAGCTCTCACCCTTAACCACTGCCTCTAGTGCCTAGCCAGTGTCCTCACAAAGTTGTTGTTCAGTAAATGTTCATCAAATTGAACTGAAGATTATGAGTCCGGGAGCCAGGAAAGAAAAAAGCAATGCTGGCTGGTTGTGCCCATAGCTGGTGTTGGCAGGCAGTGTTTGTCTTTGGGACAACAGCCTGTGACACTGGAATGAAACAATCTCAGCAAGAGAGAGTACACTCCACAAGCCCTGAGAAAATTTCATTTGGCTCAAGAGTTGCTGACCTGAATAAAAGGGCATGAAATTGAGTTTTGTAGAGGAAAAGAGCAAAGAGGCCAAAATTCAGCTACAAAGTCAGATCATATGACAACCACGGGGGTGATGGGAAAATACTGTGACATGGGCGCCACACACAGCAAATACAAGAAATACAGCCAAGAAGCTAGTAAGATACAGTACTTGAAATCTGGGGTCATTAGATCATTTGTTCATTCAGTAAATGTGTAAGAAGCACACAATTTGCTACTACCTGCTTCACTCTCCTGTCTCAGGCCACACACCAAGCTCTCCTGCGAGCTCACTTGGCCTCAGGACTGAGGCTCACTTCCCACTCCTCATTCTTGCCTTCCAGTTTTTCAGATGCTCTTGTTACAGATGTTCTCTTGGCCAGCTCCTTCTCTTCACTCCTGACTCAGCTCTTCAGAGGCACCTTCTCTGACTACCCAGTTACCTGAAGGAGTCCCTTATACATCATCCCCCAAATTTTCTTTGTAGAACTTACCATGGTCTAAAGCTACCTCTTTCATTTACTTGTTCATTATCTATCTACTCACTAGAACCGAAGTTCCATGACAGCAAGAATTTCATCTGTCTTATTTATCACTGTATCCTCCACTCAAAACAGTCCTTGCTTATAGTAGGTACTCAATAAGTTTTAGTTGAATCAGTGACTGTACCTCGTATAATAATTTACAGAGACTTTCCTGACTGTCCAGTGGGTAAAACTCTGTGCTACCACTGCAAGGGGGCATGGGTTCTATCCCTGGTTGGGAAACTAAGACCCTGCATGCGTCTCTCGGCATTGCCGATAAAAGAAAAAAGAACACTAACTTTGGCAAAGGCTGTTACAAATATTATTTCCTGGGTGCTAGATAAGTGCAAACTAAAGTCGCTTTGTCTCCTTTCCTGCCGGCAGAGTGTCTGTCGTAGGCACTCCCTAACACCTGGTATTTCCTAGGTGTATGAGGTGTGTTTAACAGTTCCAGAGCACTCATACTGGTTTGCACGCCTCTCTCTCTTTTTAAAGAGATTGATTTTAAAATTTATTTTTGACTGCAGTGGGTCTTCGCTGCTGCACTGGGCCTTTCTCTAGTTGTGGTGAGCAGAGGCTACTCTGTTGCAGTGCATGGGCTTCTCATTGTGGTGGCTTCTCTTGTTGTGGAGCATGCGCTGTAGAGCATGGGCTTCAGTAATTGTGATGCACGGGCTTAGCTGTTCTGTGGCATGTGGGATCTTCCCAGACCAGGGATCGAACCTGTGTCCCCTGTATTGTCAGGCAGATTCTTAACCACTCGACTACCAGGAAAGCCTTACTCTCCTCTTTTAAAATATTATTCCAGGGTCTATCGATCGAGGTAGTGGTTTACAACTTGGGTTACCAGACCCTGGGTCCTTGATAACAATCTTTGAGCTGTTTTCATTATTGTCAATGACTTAACATCAATCATGTTTAATCTTTCCTCAAGCTTCCCAGGGTCCTTGGAAGTTACTTCTTTGCTTTCATAGAATCCTAACACGTAGTGAAGCAATGCTAAAGGTAAATGAAGTAATCGTTAGTTAGCATATGCAGTTTTACTGCATATGCAAATCCTCCTCTACTTTGGAGGAAAATAACTAAGAAGGTTCTTAGTGGTAAAAAGGCTAGAAACCCTTTAGCTCAGGGAGCCTGAGTTCAAAGAGCAAAGAACTCTCCTTTACCCATAAACTCTCCTTCCATGACCTCCTGATCATTTCAGCAAAATATCTACCTCACTTAGTTGTAGGGCCTGGAAGAGGCTAGACTGGAGGCATCTCAGAACAGGGGAGAGTAGAAGTTCCAAAAAGCAAACAGCCCTAAAAAAGGGAAAGGTGGGGGGGGGCGGGGAACAAACAAAAACTCCCTGCCTGCTTTGCTCTTTGCACTTGGGACAGGAATTTTGAATGAACATGCATTATTCAGTTGCTATCCGACAGGCACCTTACATGCAGTCTTTTAATCAATGCCTACTTCACAGATCAGGTACACAGCCAGTGAATAACTGAACCAGGATCATGAATCCAGACAAATCTGGCACTTGAGGCCCTTTGACAATATGCTGTACTGTCTTTGTTAGGACAGAGCATTTTAGAATTAGGGCAACTAGCTCTTCCTTCTTTTGACTCCATTGCTTCTGGGTGATAATATTATGGATACCTCTTTTCCTTCACTTTTCTATAATTTCTAAATTTTTCCTAACTAGGACTTTCCCCTAAGGGTCCTTATATGAATGAATTCATCAGTGGTTAATGTCTGTAGGCTGTTCTGGTGGAGATTTCCACCAAGGATACAGGAGCTGGTTCTAGATCTGGGGAATCATCAATAGAGAGATGGATTTTGAAAAACTGAGGAGTGGATTTGGTTCTCCTAGAGTTAATGTGTGGAGTAGAAATTTGGGTTGAGAAAAGAGCCCTGGAACAGAAAACCTCCATGTCTATGACCTGCTCTGTAATATGGCGCCATAATACTATGCTTAATGCACCACAAATATTTTGTCAACAATTTGTCCTTTTTTGTCTCAAGGAACAACTTGAAAGGGTAAGAATTCTAGTAAATGTGTTTAGAGTTCTGGGATCTAGTGTTTTTCTGGGCAGAATTAATGCTCCCTGATTGAGTCCCCAGAAGAAATCTCCATGTCCCCTGTTTTACAAGCCCTTGAATTACTATGTTGTTGTTGTTCAGTCGCTCAGTCGTGTCCGACTCTTGGTGACCCCATGGACTGCAGCACACCAGGCCTCCCTGTCCATCACCAACTCACGAAGCTTGCTCAAACTCATGTCCATTTGAGTAGGTGATGCCATCTAACCATCTCATCCTCTGTTGTCCCCATCTCCTCCTGCCTTCAATTTTACCCAGCATCAGCGTCTTTTCTAATGAGTCAGCTCTTTACATCAGGTGACCAAAGTATTGGAGTTTCAGTTTCAGCATCAGTCCTTCCAGTGAATACTCAGGATTGATTTTTAGGATTGACTGGCTTGATCTCCTTGCAGTCCAAGGGACTCTCAAGAGTCTTCTCCAACACCACAGTTCAAAAACATCAATTCTTCGACACTCACCCTTCTTTATGGTCCAACTCTCACATTCATACACGACTACTGGAAAAAATCATAGCTTTGACTATACAGACCTTTCTTGGCAAAGTAATGTCTCTGCTTTTTAATACACTGTCTAGGTTTGTCATAACTTTTCTGAATTACTGTACCCCAATCTTTATTATTGGTGTGGCTCTTCCATGAAGACACATGGAGATTATTGACTCAATTCTTTATTTCCCAACTCTTAGCGGCATAATAGTTGATCCTGAGCAAATTACTTAACCTTTCTAAGGCCCCAATTTTTCATTTGAAAAATGAGAATCATTGTGTGTTTCAAAAGGTTTTAGAAAAGGTACAGTAAAATGAAAAAAAAAAAAAAAGCTTAGCACAGTTCCAAGAATACTGTCAACAGTGAAAAACTGGTTTTGAACAGCTACACTGAGGCCAGTGCTTTTTGATGCGTGCACGTAAGGATCGCTCTGTCCATCTCCAGAAACGGAGAAGTCAAGTTTTTTCTTCACCTTGTGAGTTAGATAAAATCTCAGCTCAACAACTTGAAACTAGCCATGGGCCAAGTCGCGATCTGGCCTCTGCCCCAAGACTACAAGTCCCAGCATGCCGCGCGCCGGATCTTGCCCCCGCCCCTTCCGCTCCAGGCACCACCTCCTCTCGATGCGCCGGTGTGGGGCGCGTAATGGAAACGGGATGCTGGCTGCTTGGGGGCGAGTTCGAGGACTCGGTGTTCGAGGAGAGGCGGGAGCGGCGGCCTAGACCACCCGAGTCGTACCGCGCCAAACGCTGCGAGCCGCAGGTGAGATAGCCTGTCTGCCTCACCGCCGTCACCGGGCCTGGTGGTCCCGGCCCGACAGCGCTTCAGACGCCCTACGCCCGCGTAGCCTGTCCCCCGAACCCAGACCCTCTTGCCGCCCTGCGCTCACCTCGGCCTCCCTGCCATCCCTCACCCACCAGCCACACCGGTTGAGCCCGACATCCTCTGCCCCCGAGGGAATCCCCGCGCAGTCGGCTATCACGTCCCATCTGGCGTTCGGCCGGTCTCCCCGCGACTCGCTGCCTTGACTCCGCTGCTTCTGCAGCCGTACAGTCAGGGCCCCCAGAAATTCAGCCACCGCCCACTTTTCAGACCTCAGTGTTGTCTGCTCTCCGAACCGGGCCTGTCCTTGTTCACTGAGCTCCCCGTGCCCACGTTAACCCCGCTCAGGTGGTCAAAAACGTTCATAGCCATTTCTCCAGGTGCACCTTAAATTCCGCCTCCTCCAGAAAGTCTTTTCTAACTCCCCCTTCCAACCGCATTATTTTTGTCTTTGACTCCTTTCCCCTCTTTTACCTATTTACGCAGTTGTCAGTATCTCATAAAGCTCTTAGACCCAGAATGCTGAATGATGACAGGATTTTTTCAAGTCTGTAAATCTCATCTCAATAATAATAGTTCCTTTTTATTAAATAGTATTCCAGGCACTGGTCATATATTGTCTCATTTTTCCTTAAAATCCCTATACATACAGATGCCAGGCACTCTGAAATAACTGGATTGGATTGTACTTTTGCTTTATTTCACTTACATTTCCTCCTTGCCACGTGCAGTCTTTCAGAGTGGCCTACTTGATCCTGTAGACTAAACCAGGAAATGGACTTTTGAAGTCCTGTGGTACCACATTAAAAAGCCACAGTTGTGAGATAGGATGCTTGGATTCTAGCATTGACTTTACAGGTCAGTAAATTGACTTTCAGAGAAATTGACTTTCAGAGTGTCAGTTCCTTATTCGTCATTTGAGAAAAAAATAAAATGATGTTTGTTGGCTTATAGGGTTATTGTGAGAGTGGAATGATATAATACTTTGCCAGGTGTGATGTGCTGTTTACTTATAAAGTAAAATCCCCCAAATCACTTGTCTTTAGAATTTATTTATTTGGCAAATGGTAAATCTCGTAAATTCAGAGAGTTACCATTCACACCTCATTCAAGAAATGAATTCAGGCTTCATTCAAGTCCTGTTGGTTTTCCCAAGTGTAAAACTAGGAGTTTGAGTTGATTTGTTTTCCCTTACGGCTCGGTGTGTAATCAGGTGTTTGTCTTACCAGTACTTCACGTCTTAGTTTTCACCCTTGTTCACAGTTTTTCCCTCCTTTTCTTATCAGAATGGAGTATCAAGGTAGTTGTGATACCCGGGCATCTCTCTTAGAAATAGAACCGAGAAAGTTTGACACCATGGTGGAACCATCACAAATGCAGTTACTCTTGAATTAATAATAACATTTAACTGGGGACAGACTTCATTCAACTTCAGTGTGTTTTACTGTTCGTAGAAGAGAGGACAAGATACTTCTTTGGAGCTGGAAAACTGGCACACGGAGCACTTTTTGTCATCCCTGTTTTCTCATCTTAACATTGTTTATGCAATAATTAAAAAAAAAAAATCTCAGTCTCACTTTTCTTTCTATCCATAGGGTTTAAAGCAGTAGAAAAGTGAATAAAATATTCCAGATGGACTTTTCCTGAAACTTTTCTCCTACAGTACGTTGGCATTTGATTGCATGGAAGCCTCCTTTCAGCCTTAATTTCTTTTCTTGTCTTTGCTTGGATTCTACTTTTGGCTTTCACACTTTCATAATAGCACTATAATAGCAGTTCTTTTCTATGTCATCTCTGTAAAGAGTTGTCAATTCCAGTTCCATCCACTCTAAGAATTTCTCTGCAGGAAAACGTATCTCCGTCTAAAGAACCACTGTGAACTGTGCTAGTTAAATGTAGATTCCCAGGCCCAAATTGGAAATGCTATGGAAACTAAATACTTTCATGCTTGTTTAGTTGAGGTACCATATTATTGGTATATTTGTACTGGTGATAATTTTCATCAAAACTGAATCACCATAAAAATTGTCATTCTTGGGACTTCCCTGGTGGTTCAGTGGTTAAGAATCTGCATTGCAATGCAAAAGACATGAGTTCAACCCCTGGTCTGGAAACTAAGATCCCACATGCTGCAGGATAACCAAGCCTGCCGGCTGCAACTGCTGAGCCCACTTGCTGCAATGAAGACCCAGCGCAGCAAAAACAAAACAAAAAACGTGTCATTCTTCTTTGTCAGATATTTTCCTGAGTCTTATCCTGGAGAAATATGTCTTTTTTGAGGTTTAATCAGTTATATATGGGAAATTGCCCCTGAGTCTGGGGTGGAAAGGGCTTCCCAGGTGGCACTTGTGGTAAAGAACCCAACTTCCAATGCAGGAGACAAAAGAGATGTGGGTTCAATCCTTGGGTCGGGACGATCCCCTGGAGGAGGACATGGTAACCCACTCCCGTATTCTTGCCTGGAGAATCCCATGGACAGAGGAGCCTGGAGGACTGTAGTCCATGGGGTCGCACAGAGTTACTTAGCATGCCTGCACATGGGATGGAAAAACATAATCTCCTTGTCTATAATATGCTGTTTTCACAATTTCTAGTGGTTTTATGAAGAAACAGGGAGCAGCGATGATGTTGAAGCTCTGACTGTCCAGAAATTCAAAGGGGACCTGGCCTACAGACGGCAAGAGTATCAGGTAGAATTTAACATATAGAAGGTTGTGCCACTTGAAATGTTCTCTTGTCCGCTGCAGCATATTTAAGTTACAGGGTACTATAATAAGTTATGAGTGTGTTGCTTTTGGAGATGAATTTAATCTTCCGTGAGGTGTGTTTGTACTCTGAGAATCCCAAGCTTCTGGCCTTCTCCACACAGCTCTGTATGCTTTGTTTTGTTTCCTGTCACTCCAGTATAGAGAGCTTGTTTGGATCCTTGCAGATTCTTTATCTCCTCAGTATGTAGAAGCCTCTAGCTTGGATACCTCGTGGGGCCACAGGAGCAAGGCACCCCGAAATGTGTTTTAAAAAAGAAGTGGGGGAAAGAACTAACAACTAGCTATCAGCTTGCTTTTCATATCGACTTCATGTCATCTTCACAAGGATCCTATTGTTGTTTTGCTCATGTGAAAAGGGTCTACAGCAAGTTAGTGACAAAACCGGGAGTCACATCCTGGTCTTCTGGGCTCCAGAATGTTTTAATTATATTCTGCAGCCATTTCTTCTCTACCTCTTAGAAAACTAGTACTGACTGAAATGCTCAAGTCTTCCTTTTGTTCATTGTAGGATCAGTTATAACACTACCTACTGCCTAGGAAACACATCACCCCCATGACTGAATTCTCTTTTCCTATTGTGTTTTCTGCCTTTCTCTTCATCCCTTTCCTTCATTTGCCTGTATTTAACAATTATTTGCCAGAAAGCACTGCAAGAGTATTCCAGTATCTCAGAAAAACTGCCATCTACAAATTTTGCCATGAAAAGGGATGTCCAGGAAGGCCAGGCTCGATGCCTTGTTCACCTGGGAAGGCACAAGGAAGCCATGGAGATTGCCACAAACTTGGTGAGTGGTTTCTATGCCCATTTCCATTTACTTTCTTAGGATGACTGAATAGTTTATTTTCTTAAAAAAAAAAAGGACAAAACAAAAAACAACTTCTTGCTGGCAGCAAAATCTGTGGGTTTGGATAAGCAGAAGGAAATTGTCAGTGGTGGAAGAACTTTATTATGATGAACAGTTTGGAGCTCCAGACATAATTATTTCCTTGTAATATTTTTTCCTATGTTATGCTCAAAATTCTTCATTGCCTGAAAACCTCACTTGCAAAGGTTTTACTCTTGTTAGGAGTAAATAAATACTCAGTAAATTACCAGTGATCTTTTTTCTTCTTTAGGTGTTTTGTTGTTTAGATTTTTATTTTCCGAAGTTTCCACAAAGAATATATATTACTTTTATAAACAGGAAAAAAAGGCTGCCAAAAATTGAATAAATATCATACTAAGCCAGGCTTAATCCTTTTTATTGCTGATGGAGTCTGCAGAATTTTTTTTAAGCAGTAAAAAAGAGCACTGCTAGATTCTGCTTATTTTTGTTTTCAGATTAAAGCACCTGTAGGTTTTTTGTGAATATTTTATATGGGAGTGAGTTTGAGTCGACCAATCCTAGTTTATAGATGACCAGTTTTCTTCCTTAGAGGGATTTAATGAGGCACCAAGGCACTGATCTTGAATTCTTCGAATCTTGTTGGCCAGAGGTCAGCCTAAAGTATGCACGCAATTGAATTGTCCACCTCTATCTCGTTAACCAAGAGAAATCCTTAAATTTACTTGCCTGGGCTTCGTTGCATAGGACCTCAGCCTCTTGCCATGAGAGGGAACCTTGGAGGTAATGTCCTTCAGAACATGGAAAACAGCTGTGTTTTGTTCTTTCCTTTTCTCCGCTCTACTAATTATGGGTTAATTCTGAAAACCGGAAGATAAGATTACCCTGTTGAGGAAGCACATGGCGTGAACACAGTGAACTTGGTGGGTTTTAACAGTGTTCAGCCTCCCTGGTCTGCACGTTAACAGCAGCTTGGGTTCCTCCGATTGCTTTTTGTAGACATCAGTCAGCCGTCCTGCACTGCGGCTCGGCTCTGCCGTTACCTCCCTCTCCCTCCCATCTCCTGGTGTCACTGTTCTGCTTTGCCTTCCCCTGAGGGCCCCTGGAGGCAGCCAGAGTGATGTCAAGGCTGGGCTGTCTCTGGTTCCTTCTAGCCTAGTGAGTCTGTTTCTGTGTCTCAGAGACAACTGTGTTGCCAATCAGAAGATGCCATCGAGCGCGAGAGGCAGGCAGGAGGAGGGACCAGCTGAAGCCCTCAGCTCCTCTCTCGGGCCTCGGAGGACTGCTCCGTGGGCTCCGGGGCGCCCTGACAGGCAGGAGTATCAGGGAGGAAATGGCCCCAGAGGCTCGTGGGTCTCACCCCTTGCTTTGAGGTGAGATCGCTTCACATGATCTCAGTGAACCCTGCCTATTTGCATGGTTTTCTCATTTCCTGATACCCTGTGTTTTGTTTTCATTTTAAAAGGTTCTCCCTTCTTATAGACCCTCTTTTTTTTTATTTGCTCTGGCTCATTTCTGGGTTTTGTTCCAGCGGTTACCATCCCCTCACACTCTGTAGGGAACAGGTCAGCATTGAACAAAACAGACAGCAAGTCCTAGAGTGCTCAGCATGACATGAACATTACTACTGAAGTTTATTTGTCTTTCTTCTTAATGATTTTTGAATAAAATTTGTAATAGAACTTATTTCTTAATTTAAATACCTTACAGTCACTGGTAGGCTCATGTGATAAACTGTGGTAAGGAAACTGCTTTTTGACAGTTAATGACTTTTTTTTTCTCATCTGTCACTTCACAAACATTTCATTCCTACCATGTGCCCAGTTCTGGGTTCAACGCCAAGGAGAAAGAACCCTGTCCATACCCTGCGTTTACATCACTCACCTAGTAACTAGTGGGAGACTCCTAAGCCCACTAACACGCGTCGGCTCTTCTGAAGTACCTTTATTCTGTGACTTCTAGCAGGAACCGTTGTAGCTCTGCTACTTACTAGCTGTGTGACGGCAGGCAGCTTATCTAACTTCTCTGTTGTGACTCGGTTGCCTCTTCTCTAAAATGGGAATAGCGATAATCTATTTTAAAGAATTGTCATGAGGATTACATGAGTAAAGCAGTTATAGTAGTGTCTGGCATATGGTGAGCATTCTGTAAATGTTAGCAATCATCATCGTCATTGCATTACAGGACTTGCCATATTCTGGGAAAAATCACACAAACTCATTTAAATGGACTTTAACTTCCAGAGAGTGCTTTCTAGTTGTGTTCAGTCATGCTGACTCTTTGTGACCCTGTGGATTGTAGCGCGCCAGGCTCCTCTCTTCATGGGATTTTCCAGGCAAAAAGACTGGAGTGGATTGCCATTTCCTTCTCTTCAGTAGTTAGGCCACCCAGAATCAATGCATCAGAATCATGGTTTGTATGCTACAGACCTCAACACACACTTGCTTTCTCAATGTGAACATGTTTTTGTTTGTATTTATTCATTTAAAAATCTTTATTGAATTTGTTACAGTATTACTTCTGTTTTATGTTTTGGTTTTTTTGGCCACAAGGGATGTAGGATCTTAGCTCCCTGACCATGGATTGAACCCCTACCTCCTGCATTGGAAGGTGAAGTCTTATCCACTAGACCACCAGAGAAGTCCCTGGAAATGTTTTTAAACAGTATAGAGCACTGTGGACTGGTTGTAGCGGAAAGGTTGCATTTCCTGTAGCATGTCTATACATGTTGCTTTTCTTACTATAAATAAGAAACATGAAGATGTATTTCTCAACAGTTATTAGATGTCTGCTATGTCTGAGGTGCTGTGCTCTGTACTGGGAATTCAGCATTGAACGGAAACTCTTTGGGAACTTAATAGTCTATGGGGAAAGACAGAATACTGAATGACAGTGATAGTGGAACCGGAGCAGTTCTGTCTTGGGAAGGTGTAGTATGACCTGATAGGTGACATGGGGCTTGAGCTCCTTTCTTTTCCCTCAACGTATGGATATTCAGAGTCTTCCCCAGGCTTTCACTCACTGCTGTGCCAGTTCCTCCCGGCTGCATGCTGGGTAGTTTTACTCTTATTTCTTGCTCAGTTCTGTGCAGGAGCTTGATCCAGATACTAGTAGGCCAGATTTTCCTTAGACTTAAAAGTCAACTGAATCTCTGCAGACTTTGACTTAGAAAAAGAAGCCCTCACCCACAGGGCTTTTGCCATATGGCAAGTTAGGCAAGAGGCGGTGCCTCAGGTTAAGTAGACTTGAAAAGGATTTTCTGATCAGAAGGAAACCAAGCAACCCCCTCTGGCCAAGAATAACTGGTCTTGATAATGGTTACCAGAGAAGGCATTTGGATTCAATTACGATGCATCATGAAACACTGAGAGCTTCAGGGCCATCCTGTTTAAGATGTCTAAGCCAAGTAGAATTTGGAAATAGAGTCCATTTGAATCCTCAAGGAAATTGCCATTTGGATTTTTAGAAAGCCTGGAATATTAAAATGGAACCATTAGCCCAGGGTATAAAAAAGTTGGCTTGGTTCTTTCAGATGTCTGGCTGAAGACAATTAAGATTATAATGCACAATTGAAAATAAACTGACGCAGAGGTTTTTGGTACTGAGCTTTGCCACGCCACTATCACCTGGATTATGTTACTGCTGTGACATTAGGGTGTTTGGGAAGGACTGGTGATGTTTTCTCAGCTAGTGTGTATTGAGGAGCCTGACGGGATCAGGGAGTCAGAGAGAGTCGGAGGTGACTGAACACACACACACATTTCTCTAGGTTTATGGTTTCAAATGAGATCTAGTGAGAAACACTTAGTCTGCTCTACTTGTGTGGCTAATGAAAGATACTTGTGATTTAGGACATGCGCAGCTTAGATTTTTAGGCATCTTCATTTTTATATGGGAAACATCCTGTAGTTTAAATGTTTTAACCTTTTTTTTTTCTCCTTAGGAAAATAAAGCAACTAACACAGACCATTTAACCACTGTACTCTACCTCCAGTTTACTATTTGTTCCAGTTTGCAGAACTTGGAGAAAACCATTTTCTGCCTACAGAAACTGATTTCTTTGCATCCCTTTAATCCTTGGAACTGGGGCAAATTGGGAGAGGCTTACCTGAACCTGGGGCCAGCACTCTCAGCATCGCTTGCGTCATCTCAGAAAGAGAACAGTTTCACCTCAAGTGACACGGTTATCAAATCCTCCTTTCCCCACTCAGGAAAAGACTATCTTTTGTGTTTCCCTGAAACTTTGCCTGAGAGCTCTGTGGAAGTAAGCAGTGGTAATAAGCAAAAGAATGAGAAAGTTCTTAAAGATATTAAAAACTGTATGACAGAAGAGAGAGCAGCAGTGTTGCTGGAAACTCAGATGAAAGCCTGTGCCTCTTTTATACGAACCAGGTAAGCTAAGAGTGGATGAAACACACATGGTACTAAGGTCGAAATAAGGATTTTATTTTTTCTGATTTCAAGCTTCTAAAAATTCTAGGCTAGACACCTGATATATGTTTTTGAGATTCTTCTCATGGTCTTGATGGGATCCTTTGAGTGTGCCCTTTTAGTATGTAAGATTTTAAAAAAGAACTATGCTTGCTCAGGAATACAGCTCATATCACCACTCAAGAGATTAAGGTTGGCAGATGTTAAAATTGGGGGGGGGGAATTAAATGTATAAAACATTGACGAGGAGGAAGTGATATTTTAAGCAAGAGATTTTTCACTCAACTTCCACAGAAAGCTACTGAAGAAGAAAATCAGATGACCCTGAAGAATCTACCTTGTGGGTGAGGGTGGATGGTGGTGCCTCCCCTGAGACAGGATAGCAGTGGGCGAGCAGAACCGATTGAGGGTGGAAGTCCAGCTGGAGTCTTCCATGAGGAGGTGGGCGGTAGAGCTAGAGGAGCTCCAGGAAGGATCAGCGATCAGAGGGAGTGTGAAGAGGCTTTGAAGGCAAGAGTTCTCGTGTGGCCTCTGAGAAGGCAGTTTCAGTCGCGGTGGTGACAAGCAGATGGCAGAGGATGGAGGGGTAAATGGACATGAAATGGAGGGAGCCAAGTGTAAGCAGTATTGTCCAGTGATTTCAAGAGCACAAGAGAGAAAGCAAGGACATAAAGGGGTCATGTGTGTGAATGTCTCCAGAGGCCAGTAGATGATCTGAACAGTCAGAGTGAAGGCCAGTCAGCTTGCGTGTTCTTTTGTAAAACTCCAGCAGCTTCCCGTTGCACTGACTTAACATGAGTTGGCCCTGCCTGTCTCTTTCACTCCAGTTTGTTTTCTTCCTGGCTGTATTTCGGTCACAGAGATCCTCCTGATTTTCAAACACTTGAAGCTAGTTTTCGTGGCCGGGCTGCCTTCCCCAGGCTAAGCCCCTTCTCCCAGATGTTCCTATGGCTGCTTCCTCACTATCTGAGCCTTGGCATGAATGGTGGCTCAGAAAATCCTTCCGGCACGGCCCTGTCAGAGGTAGACGCCTCGTCCATCCTGTCTTGAATGTTTGCTTCATGCCCTTCATCACTGCCTGAGATTAGCTTATTTACCTGTGATCTTTCTCCTTCCGCTCCTTGAGGCAGAAACCTATCTGTTTTGCTCACCAGTATCCCTCGGTGCCTGGAGTAGTATATGCATTTCTGGAGGCAGGAAATGAGTTGAACAGGAGAACTCTGCTTCCGGGTGTAACAGTGAGGCCGGAGGGAAATTGGAACAATCTTGCACACCCAGTGTCTTAGAAAACAGCGAAGAGAAAGAGCTGCGGGAGGAGAGCAGGAGGAAGGAGAAGAGAGGGGACCAGGGCACGACCATGATCGGGAGGTCAGGGGTGAGCTGATTGCAAAGTGCTCATCAGAGGGTCACTGAAGGTTTGGCTCTGCTTCAAGTAATTGAAGCGTGCTGGAGAACCTCATTAGTCCTTGAGGTCGGGTTGCTGTGGCTTCAGGGAGACCGAAGGGTCACGGAGCACCGACTTCAAAGGGACTCCTCCTGGCACTTCTGGGGAGGAGCCTCTGATGGGGAAGCTTGTTCTCGTCACTCGAAACCGTTTGTGCTTTCAGTCACCCGACTTCTACAGGAAGCCCTTGCGAGGTCTTTGCTCTCTAAAGGTTCCTTTGGAAGCTTGGTCTATGAATTTTAGAAAAGATGGTTCTCCAGTGTAAAGTTGTGCAATTCGTTGAGAGTAAAGAGCTTTGGGGATTCAGATGAAGGTGAGGACCTTCTTAGCCTAGAAGACTTGCTTCCAGCCCAGTGCCTGTACTATGTGTGAATGTGTCCTCGTCCTTCTCGGGTGCCTCCAGACTAGGACCTGCTGTTTTTCAGGCTCTTGCTTCAGCTTGCCCAATCTCAGCAAACATCGTTTGCTTTGGAGAGGAACTTAAGGACTCAGCAGGAAATTGAAGATAAAATGAAAAGGTTCAGCTTCAAAGAAGACACTTTGCTGTTGATAGCAGAGGTGAGTGTGTCCCCCAGGGTTTATGTGAAATGAAGCATCACAGATATTTTTCCTGGCTCCGAGACCATTTAACGAAAAAAACAAAAAAACACAGGGCTAAATTGCATCTTCTAGAGGACTTCTGTCTCCCTTCTTCCCGTGCCTTTTGATCACTTAACTGCCGAAAGTGGCCTCTTCCTCCTCTCTGTCCTGCAGCAAGCTCATTTACTTGTCAGTGCTTGTTAGCACCTGCCTGCTTGAACATCAGAAAGGCCCCATAATTGTTTTGTGAGTGCTGAATGAATGAATGTTGACATCTGGGCAGCTCTTTTGTCTGTCTTTCCCCCCATTTGTCCTCATAACACCCTGTGGGAGAGGCTCACAGAGGCTGTGACTTGCCTAAGGTCAGATTTTAAGTGGCAGAACTAAATGGGAACCCCTCCAGCTTCAAGTCCATTTTCTTTCTGCTCCACCCTGTTATTACTTTGACAGTTGCAGAGAAACTCAAATGTCAATTTTGTTTAACTGGTATTAGCTTTTTAAAATATATGCTAATTGATGAGGATTTCTCCGGCGGTCCAGTGGTTAAGACTCCGAGCTTCCACACTGCAGGGGACCCGGATTTAATCCCTGCTGGGGAAACTAAGATACTGTATGTTTTGCTTTGTGGTCAAAAATTTAAAAAAAAAAAAATGCTCTTTAAATTTCTTAACATGGCATTTGGAGATTTCATGTTATTTATGCTAATTCCTTTTACTATGTAATTGAAACTTGACTTTTCCCAGGAGAATAGCTCTTTATCCATATACCTCCTAACATCATTCTTTTTTTTTTTTTTTCATTTATTTTTATTAGTTGGAGGCTAATTACTTTACATCATTGTAGTGGTTTTTGTCATACATTGAAATGAATTAGCCATGGATTTACATGTATTCCCCATCCCGGTCCCCCCTCCCACCTCCCTCTCCACCTGATCCCTCTGGGTCTTCCCAGTGCACCAGGCCCGAGCACTTGTCTCATGCACCCAACCTGGGCTGGTGATCTGTTTCACCCTAGATAATATACATGTTTCGATGCTGTACTCTTGAAACATCCCACCCTCGCCTCCTCCCAGAGTCCACAAGTCTGTTCTATACATCTGAGTCTCTTTTTCTGTTTTGCACATAGGGTTATCGTTACCATCTCTCTAAATTCCATATATATGTGTTAGTATACTGTAATGGTCTTTATCTTTCTGGCTTACTTCGCTCTGTATAATGGGCTCCAGTTTCATCCATCTCATTAGAACTGATTCAAATGAATTCTTTTTAATGGCTGAGTAATATTCCATGGTGTATATGTACCACAGCTTCCTCATCCATTCGTCTGCTGATGGGCATCTAGGTTGCTTCCATGTCCTGGCTATTATAAACAGTGCTGCGATGAACATTGGGGTGCACGTGTCTCTTTCAGATCTGGTTTCCTCGGTGTGTATGCCAAGAAGTGGGATTGCTGGGTCATATGGCAGTTCTATTTCCAGCTTTTTAAGAAATCTCCACACTGTTTTCCATAGTGGCTGTACTTATTTGCATTCCCACCAACAGTGTAAGAGGGTTCCCTTTTCTCCACACCCTCTCCAGCATTTATTGCTTGTAGACTTTTGGATAGCAGCCATCCTGACTGGCGTATAATGGTACCTCATTGTGGTTTTGATTTGCATTTCTCTGATAATGAGTGACTAACATCATTCTTTCAAGAACTGCTGATGGTCTATCTGTCCTGTCTTCCTTCCCCAGGCTAAGCTCTCAGCTGGACCCCTTTTCCCTCTTCTGGGGTCATCTCCCCCATCTGTTCTCTTTGAGCCTTTTTTCTGCCTTCCCCTTCCATGGGCTCATTCCTTTGGACCCTCAGACACATATAGATAGACCATCTCTCCCGAGTTTATGGTTGCTTTTGCTTCCCATCTTTCTTAGCATTCAGCACCATTGACCACTCACCTTTTGTTCCCTGTTCCTTTTGCTTCCGAGCAGCTAAACTGCTAAAAATATTCATCTATTTTTCTCCTTTATTTCTTACCATTCCTCTGCTGTCTGGGACTCTGCTAGTTTCCCCTGTGTCTTAAGTAGTGACATTCCCTGAGCTTTCATTCAAGTTCTCTATTCTGTCTCTTTCTCCCACACAAATCATAACCATGCTTGTAGTTCCTGTTGTCACCTCTGGGTTGATGACCCTCCAGTCGTATCTCTGGTCCCATCTTTGGAACACTTGTCTCCCATCTCAGATCAGTGACTTATGGAGTCATTAATCCAAGGTGATTATTGATCTGCTGTCACTTCGAGTACAAATGTAAAACGAGGCTACTTGGCAAAACCATCTTTAGTCAGTCTCTGGTCAGCGCCCAGCATGGACTTGGCCATCAGTAAGTACCCGCTGAGAGGAAGCAGAGGGGAGCTAGAGAGAGCCATGTCTTTGTTCTAGACTTAGTTTCTTTCATCGATCCTACCCGTCTTTTCTCCTTTCACCCAGGCCTGGACCGTCCCTCACCTTGGGCCTCTCCTCTCCAGTCTCACCTCCTGCGGGGCCCACCGCCAACACTCTAGTCACATCGCCTCACATCTGCTCTCATAGTGACCTCCCGCCCTGGCTCCTCACTCTCCCTGCAGATCTGTCTTCAGCTGTGCTGCTGGGCTCATCTTAAAACATGGCTTTGACCATGTTACCTGCTTACATTAAAAACTAAAATTCAATGTGTCATCATTACCTTAAAGATTGGGTCTAGTTCTGGTGCCTTGATATGATGTCTGAGGCCTTCCTGAGAGTAATCCCAGACTTAGGGCCTGGTTATTCCTTGCACAAACCTTTTGCTTCCACTGGACTAGTCTCCCATGTGTCACACACCTGTCACGGGTTTTCCCATCTCCATCTGCTTACGCTGCTCACCCTCAGAGGCCCAGCCTGTGCCGCACATCCTCCAGGAACCTTCTCCTGAATGTCCTGGTCTGTGGCAGTCTCTCCTCTGAGCTCGACAGAGTGATTGCTGAAATAGGTAGCTCTTGGGGCCACTGAAAATACAAGAGTGTCTTATCTTTGCAGCTAGATTTTAAGTTCCTTGTAAGACATCCTTTGTTGTTGTTATCCAACTCTTGTGATCCCGTGGACTGTGTAGCCCGCCAGACTTTTCGGTCTATGGGATTTCCCAGGCAAGAATACTGGAGTGGGTTGCTATTTCCTTCTCCAGGGAATCTTCCCAACCCAGGAATCAAAACCGTGTCTCCTCCTTGACAGGCAGATTCTTTACCACTGAGCCACCCAGGAAGACCTGTTAGGCCTCCTTATGAGATGTCTTAAACATCTTCGTGTTCTTCACCATGTGTGACAGGTTGGAATAATAGTTCTCTGTCTGTGAATTATGCACCTGCTGAGCCCTCTTTTTGGAATATTGCATTGCTTGAATATTGCTATTATTCCATTCTCTCTCTTTTTTTTTTCAATAAAAAAACACACTTTTGGTGTTATAGCTCAGATTTAAAAATACTACATTTTATTGAGTCCAAGCAGTCATCAGTTGTTAAGACACATCATTAGTTGATGTGCCACTAAAAGAAAAATAAGGTGCTTTTTACACTATGACACAGCAGTGGTTATAAGATACAACTTGGTTTTTAGAAATGTTAAGATAGAAAAATAGAAATTGTCTTCGAATTGATGAAATTACCGTACTTTAATAAATCCTGACAGTTGCTACTCATCCTGTCAGCCTTTGCCTCAAACAGTAAGTATCTTTGAAGATTGAAAGCCAGTGGAACCCGTTCTTTGAGTGGGTTTCTAATCCATTATGATCTGAGTATTCACGAACACAGAAGACCTCAGGGTTTGTAGGAGACCTAGAGATCATCTAGTCCAAATCCAAGTGACTAGTTCCCTTTACCACATCCCTGCCAAGTGGCTCCCTGACTTTTCATGATGATTGGAGGGAAACAGGGGGGCGGGAAATGTTCACTGTCCTTAGCAAATGTGGTCCGATGGCACAGTGGGTTCAGACGCAAGCTTCCTGCAGACGGAGCTTTGTGGGTGTCTTGTCGAAGGGAAGCTCACACAGAATCTGGGCCTGGCTCTCGCCAGTAGGGGGCAGTGTCGCGCCTTCAGAGAGCTCTCGTGCTCGAAGGTCTCGGGTTGCCGTGGTGACCATCCTGGAGGGTTGGAGTCTCTCTGGGTCAGGAAAGGGCGACTCAGTTGGGCGCTGCTCAGCTGTTGGCTGCCTTTGACGTCCCCGGAGAACGTCATAAGAAGGGGTCTGTGCTCTGCACAGTAGCAGTTACGTTCCGCCCAAGCCTACTCTTGTGTCGCTTATAAGGAGGAGGAACCCCTCACGGTTGCCTTCTTGCCCCCGGAAGATGCTCTGTGATGTACGAAGGTCCGCTCAGCTCTCCCTGTGGCCTGAGTGGTGCTCCTGCCACATTTGTGCCTCCCTGATGTGTTCGCTCAGGGAAATATGAGACTAGCAGTAGGATCCTTACACATGTGGTCTTGGATCACTACTTCATAAACATCTTTTCAATATGTTAAATTGTCAGAGCTGTTCCCTGACTGCTGAAGAAGTTCTGCTTTTGTGAGAAATCCTTTGCACTTGATGACCAGCATGGTCTTAACATTCCGTGTCTGCTGCACCTATTGGGAAAGAGTTTTATCTTTCTTCCCCTCCGCCCCGCCATTGCAGGTTATGGGCGAAGATATCGTCCCAGAAAAACTCCGAGACGAGGTTCACACGGAGGTCAAGTGTGTTGGCCCCGCGGCCCTGACTTCCTTGGCGATCGGGTCTTCGGAAGAGTTTGAAGACAAGTGGTTCAGAAAGATCAAAGACCACTTCCATCCCTTTGAAAATCAGTTCCACACAGAGATACAGATCTTGCCTTAGTGGTCCCTATAAAAACAAAACAAAAAACATCTTGTTCTCTATTAGGTGTTCTGGTTTACTTCAGACAGAATCCTCTGCTAATCATGGAATATACTGAATTAAAAACAATCATCTATGTTTTATAAAAATGGCTTCTCTCCCAGATAATTTCTACTGTGTTCAATTTCTTGATTTTTTGTTTTCTTTTTAGATTTCTGTCATTCACTTGTGTGAGGCCTACTGCCCCTTTAGAAGATACCTGTTGGAAAAGTGTTTAAAGGGACTTTTAGGAACTTGCCTGGCAGTCTGGTGGTTAAGACTCTGCCTTCCAGTGCAGGGGATGCAGGTTCAGTCCCTGATGGGGCAGCTAGGGTCCCACATGTTGTAGGTGCAGCCAAAAATTAAAAATAAATACATTATAAATTAGCTATGCTTCAATTTAAATGAACTTTTTTAAATAAAAGAGACTTTTAGATTTTATAATGTTTTAAAAACAGTTACTGTATTAGCAGTGTAAGTATCCATGTTGTTTTGGTAAATTCATCTTGAGTGTCCAGGAATGCTGAAATGTGATAGGAAACCATTTCTAGGAAGGGTGCGTTGAAGGCTGAGATTTACCACACCTCTAAGCCTGCACATTAACCTGCCAGTGTCAGGGAGGCTGCAGAAGACTTGATTACTCGTGGCCCAGGGAACAGGATTTATTATTGTTGTTCATTGCTCAGTCATGTCTGACTCTTTGTGACCCCATGGATTGTAGCATGCTAGGCTTCCCCGTCCATCACCATCTTCCAGAGTTTGTTCAAACTCATGTCCATTGAGTCCGTGATATCATCCAACCATCTCCTCCCTGTCGTCCCCTTCTCCTGCCTTCATTCTTTCCCAGCATTAGGGTCTTTTCCAATGAGTCAGTTCTTTGCATCAGGTGGCCAAAGTATTGGAGCTTCAGCATCAGTCCTTCCAATGAATATCCAGGGTTGATATCCTTGCAGTCCAAGGGACTCAGGATAAGCTTTAGCCTATTTGTGTCCATTCCTTTGCCTCCAAGTCCCAAGGCAGGTAACACGTATAGGCCCAGACGAATGAGTGTATATGCAGTGAGGTGTGTTAGCGGAACCCTGAGCTTAGGAGCAGTCAGCTCCTTTATAATGAGCAGTAAGCAGGCCTGCCCTGTGCTCCAAGGTAGGACAGTCCTTTCTAAGGTTGTTTGCTTCACATGTATCTCTGAGAAGATAGTCTGGAATGAAGGGCCGTAAGTGCCTTGCTCACAAGCTGTATAGAAACGTGAGACCCGTGGAGCTCTGTCCCAGGTGATTATCCTCTCTGTTCAGCCACACAAACTACACTTGGTCCGTAACATCAACTTCAAATAGAAAAGGCTTGCTTGAATTATCTGGGATGGAAGAGCTCCCTTATGAGAAACAAATTTTAATAATAGACCAAGACATCAGCTATTGTCCCCCAGAGCTTTTGATTTTATTTTTCTCAGCAGAAGGAAGAGAATTCCAACCCTGGGCAGAAAGGTGAAGTCATCAGTATCTCCCATCCACTTCACTGTTCATTTCTCCCTTTCCCAGGCCCCTTCCCAAAAGAGACAAAGGTCTGGTTTTGTTTATAGTTTGAAACTCTTTTAGTATGAGTGACTGAGAACATGACTAGCAACTGCAGGTTTAGTCATTTATCTCTAACGTGAAACAAAAGACTTTGTATAATTAACAGACATTTCAATTTTTAGAAACCATTAAGTATGAACCCCCCCACACACACACACACACAAATCTTCCCTATTGCCCCTCCACCCCTCCCTTGAGTCATCAACAACCACTTACTGAGGTCCTGTATAGGACAGGCACTATGTAGTTGCCATGGAGACACTGGTTACTGTGGAGTTTATGGTCTAGTTGTGGGTGGCCTACAGGATAGAACTCAAAGGGAAAGTAGTTGCCAAGCCCTTCCTGACACAGCCTTGGGCTCCCAGGGGCTTCTCCTGTGTCCCCTCTCTCCAACTTTGAATGTGCCCTGTTGGTCACTGTTAGTCTTGCAAGCTGGCAACTCAGCCCGGAACCCCCCGCCCCTTCGTGTTTGTATTGGGCTCACAGGTCTCCACCTGGTTTCAGCTTCCAAAAGTCTTGATTCCCAGGTGGTCAGTTTCACACTGTGCTCCTTCCCTGCTCTTTCGCCCCCATGTTGGCCCTTATGATGCTATCTTGTCATCGCCTGTTTTCCATGAGACAAAGCTTAAGCTTTGTAAAATTGTGGACTTGGACTGTCTTGTTCATATTTGTATCCCCAGGGCAGAATACCTGGCCTTTTGCCAAATGTTTGTGGAAAAGAATCACTGAATTAATTGGCCAGCATCTTGCTTTGTTTGCACAAAAGGTTAATATCCCAAAGGTCTGATAGTGCTGAGGCAAGCTGCCTGGAAACACAGTCCATTTCTGTCTCTGTAGCCAAAACTCCTTCCTCCTGCTCATCTGGGGCCTCCTGGAAATGGCCTTTTCTCCCCTCACTTCTCTGGGCTTCCTGTCTCATCCTGGTCCCCTTCTAACTTGGCCCAGACTTTTAGCTTGCAGCCCTCTGGCTGTCCTCCCGGGCCCACTGTTGACGCAGTCCTGGACAGCTGAGTAGTCTGCCCACACCCTCACTCCCGCCCCGCCTCCCTTTCCTGGCAGCGGCGTGTCCACACACGTGAGAATCCAGTCTCCTATACCCCGATGCCCCGGCTGTAACGCAGGGCAGGAAAGGGCACCCAGGAAGACTGGGTGTCATCACACACAAGTCAGCTTGGTTATTTCCAGCACAGATGGTGAAGGTGTTTAATTGAGCAATGATTATGCTAAAGAAAAATCTCAGGCCTGTGCTCTAACCCCACCCTCTTGTTAGCGAATGAATCACTCAGGTGAGCAGATGTGAAGCACTGGGGTGTCTGTCTGCACCCCGTGGGTGGATTGGGAACCAAGGGCAGTTCTTCGTCTCGTGACTCTCAAAAGGCCTGTCTTCATTGTTTTCTGCCAAGGTGGGTGGTGTGACACTTGCCCAAAACTTGAGCTGGTGAGAGTCCTCTGTCTTTTATACTCCTACACCCCTGCAATCTTATACTGTAGCCAAAGGGATCTAACAGAAATACTGCTCTCAGAATCCTTCAGTCATTTCCCAAATCCTGAGGCCTGGGAGGCCCTATGTGGTCTGGCCCTGGCCCACATCACCCCAGCTCACTCTGATTTTTTTCTCATTTCTTTGAAATCCACAAGTGGCCTCCCACCCAAGCCCTATGCCCATCCAGTTACCTCTAGTCGGAACACTCTATCGGCAAGCCTCCAACCCTGCCATACACTTGCCATTCCTACAGATCCCAGCTCAGAGGTCACTCTCAGACAAGATGGTTCTGAGTCCAGACTTGCTCAGGTTCCCCCTTTAAATGTCAGAGCGACTGCTTTTTTTATTCCCCAAAGGTGGTAATGTTCAGTCACTAAGTCATGTCCAGCTCTTTGCGACCCCATGGACGACAGCATGCCAGGCTTCCCTGTCCTTCACTGTCTCCCAGAGTTTGCTCAAGTTCATGTCCTTTGAGTTGGCAATGCTGTCTAACCATCTAATGGAATTTACACTGAATCCTCCTTGCAGAGCAGAGGCTCCAGGGCTGTCTCTGGTTTGCTGCTTCATGGTGGAGCTCAGCTTCCTGGACACGCCTTGGCTTTCTGCCCAGTGCTGCCTTCCTGCACCCTAGGCCCGCCTTGGGCAGAGACAGCCTGAAGCCTGAGGAGCCAACAGCCCATTCCCCCGGAGCCCCACTGCCGGCGTTGCAGGTGCCCCGCCTACCTGTGGGGGACCACATTCCCACAGGGACATCCTTCATTTTAGGAAAACCTGGGGTAGAAATCTATGAAACAGATCCAAGGCTGCTATTTACAAAAGCAATCATTTTAAATAGCAGCTCTCTAGTGCTTTTGAAATTTCATCTATAAAAGTAGTTTCTACACTACTTTCCAAGGTCTTCATATAAAAACAAACAAGCAAACAAAAACCAGAGAAGATTATACGAAAGAATCCAAAGCTCCAGAAACAAGGGTTCTGAAGAGGGACAGCCTGGGGCTGCTTCAGACCTGTTGTCCCGATTAAAGCGTGTCTCCCCGGCGACTTTGCTAATGAGGTCAGACAAGCAAGACAGGCCTTTATATGCTTGGGGCTCACTGTTCTTTGTGTCCTTTCTCCCTCCCTAGCATGGGGTGACTTGGTCACTTAAAGCTTTGATGAGATGTGAGTTCGATCCCTGGGTTGGGAAGATCCCCTGGAGAAGGAATTGGCAACCTGCTCCAGTTTTCATGCTGAAGAATCCCATAGACAGAGGACCCTGGCGGGCCCAAGTCCATGGGGGTCACTGAGAGTCTGACACAACTGAGCACGCAGACAACCAACAAATCCTGGTATGGGCCACTTGAGCCCTTTCAGTCTTGGTTTTAGAATAAGACGTTGTGTCTCAGAACGCCATTTATTTTAAAAGTGACACTCCTTTGTAAAACCTTGACAGAGCATCATTGTAAGAGATATCAAAGATAAGATGCTTCCATCTCTTTCAAAGAGCTTCCATTTCTAGTAAATGTAATAGGACATCCACGTAAGTTACAGATAAGGGTCTGGAAGGAGCATGGACAGTGCAGAGGGTGGGGCATCAAAGAAGTTTCATGAAGGAGGTCATATCTGAGTTGGGCCTGGTGAGGAGGTGGTTTGTACCAGGTCTGCATGGTTTCTCAGTCGAGGGATGAGAACGTGAAGCCTGGTTGTCCAGGTTAGTGGGTGCGTTGGAATGTGGGAGAGACAAGGCTGGGCGGGTTAATCGGCGTCTGATTATGGACAATCATAAGCTCCTGGTAGGGAGCTTGACTTGTTGTGGGGATTACTGAGCTATGGAAGGTCCCTGAGCAGGAGAACGGCTGGTTTAGGGTTGTGCTTTAAACCCACAGATCTGGCCTTACTCTCCACATGGTAAACACTCTTTGTGGTTCATGCAGTATGTGTTCGCTGGGCCTAGGAGACAGGAGCACTAACGTGGCGGGTGGAGTGGGCTAAGACGCTGAGGCGCCCCAGCGCCCTGGGAAGTCCACACTGTTGCGGAGTCGGTTACCCTGAAGGGCTTCCTTCATGCAGAAAGAGCCAAGTGCTCGCACCAGCCCAGCCGCCTACAAAGTGTCTGCGTGAGTTTGCCTGGCACGGGGAGCGGCCGTGGAAGAAGGCGGGCTTGGCCGGCACGCTGAGAGCACTGGCTTCCAGGCTGCGCTCGCCCTCGGCCTTGTGCGTACACAACCGTGCACTGCAGCCGCCCCCCTGGGGCTTCTCCGTGCACTCGGCTTGGAGCACTCTTGTGAGGACACCCTTGCTCACCACACCCTGCAGAGGCGTGAAGGATGGCGCGTCTGGGTGTGATCTAGTTGTGCCTGAGGAGGCAGCTTGTGTGTCTCAGTGGAAAGAGAGTGAACAACCAGGAAAAGGAGGCCGTTTATACTTGTGCATATGCCTGCAATATTTACATTCTCCGATAACAGTTTTTCTGACACACATACGCTCTTCAGGAGGAAGCTGAGAAAGTGAATGACAGTCTCTCCATGTCCAACAGCTTCTTGGACTTAGTCCAGAAAACACAGCACGGGAAGATGTGACTCTGGCACTTCTGGGCCAGGCCAGCAGGGCCAGCAGAGTGGACGCAGGGAGCCAGGGTCAAGGTAAGGGGCAGTGACAGTCGTCCTAGGGTGTCTGAACGTTCAACCCTCTCAGGACCACCGAATTTCCTTGACCAGTCAGCATCCGTTGCTTCTGGGATCATCCCAGGGTGGCTTGTAAAGATACCTTGACCTCTAACAGGACAAATAGGAAGATAAAAGATCAGTATATAGTGAGGACCAAATGAACACCACAGATCATTTCCAGAAGGAGGAGGCCTGCGGGGGCAGAGGTGATCATTCCAATCAACACCCCGGTCAGTCCTGGCTGACAGCCCTACAAGTGGGTAATATGATCCCTGGTTTGGGGATCACATTTCCACTCTGTCCCCCAACATGAACGTGATCATCATACAATTTCTTCCATTCCCTCGTGTTCTTTCCTAAATTTATTTTTGGCTGCACTTGGTCTTCGTTGCTGTGCACAGGTTTCTCACTGCAGTGGTTTCTCTTGTTGCGGAGCCCGGCTCTAGGGCATACAGGCCAAGTAGTTGTTACCTTGCGTGCGGCATATGGAGTCTTCCTGGACCAGGGATCAAACCTATGTCCTGTGCATTGCATTGGCAGGCAGCTTCTTAACCCCTGGACCACCAAGGAAGGCTGCATGTTCTTTTTTTAAATTTTATTTTATTTTTATTGGTTTATTTTTCTGGTTGTGTCATACAGCTTGTGGGATTTTAGTTCCTCAACCAGAGATCACACCCAGGCCCTCGGCAGTGAGAATGCAGAGTCCTAACCACTGGACCAACAGGGAATTCCCATTCTCTCAGGTTCTTCACCAGGGTGGTTCACGCGGGTGCTGCCCTCAGCTGACTGGCGCGCTCCAGGATGGACGTGAGCCTGGGACTCTGTGCCTGTTGCTGTAAGGTGTCTGACACTTGGTGGGTGTGCCACTGCTGTCGCTGAATCCCACATGGTAGGAGAGACTCCACTTGTCTCAGGATGGCCCCCAGCAAGACAGCCTGCTAAGGCGGGTGTAGGTGTGAGTACTGCCTAGAGCAGAATTAAAGCTGGGGCAAGCCTGAGTTTAGGAGGGTTGGAAACTTAGATAAGGACTTGCTTTGGCTTTCAGCCACTCCCTTGCCAGGTGTGTAAAGCCTACCTAGTCCCCTGGTGGAAATGGCATCTTGTAACAAGAATCCAAGGCTGGGGGCCCTGGGTGGTCCAGTCCCACAAAAAGGAATGGCCCAGCCTCGCATCAGCAGGTCCCGAGATTGTATTAGTCAGGCTAGGCTGGATCATGGTGCAGTTAGAAACTGCCCCAAGTCTCAGAGGCCTTAAATAGCAAAGGTTTGTTTCTTGCTCATAACTGCTTATCCATTGCAGGTCAGTGGGGAAAGCATATCTTTCTCTTCATAGACACTTAGGGAGCTGGGCTGGTAGAAGGGGGCTCCATCTTGAGGTAAGAAAATCTGCACCAGGAGCTTAGAAACCTGGAAGTGATCCTCAACACTTCCACCCACATCCCAATGACCAAAGGAAACCACACCTGATTTCCCAGAGGTCAGGGATCATGGTGAAATGACAAGGTGCCCAGAGGGAGGAAAACAATACTCAAGAACCCCTAAGATAACCACAGGGGAAACTGGCTGGTGGAAAGGAGTTGGGAGCAGGAGGGCTTGTTCCGACTGCAGGTCCCCTCTCCACCCAGACTGAGCCAGATGCAGGGACAGAGCCCACCTCTGGACCTCTTGGCACCCCGGCAAGCTTTCCCTTCCTGAAGCTTTCTCATCAGGCTGTGAGATTCAGCTTAGCCCTGGTCATTCTAACCTCATCATGATGCTCAGCAGGAAAAAGGCAACATCAGGACCAGGGCTTAAAAAACCTTCAGGAACCAAAGGGCTTTGTTGTTGTTGAATTTTCAGGAACTAGGGAGGAAAATGTGAAGTGAGGACAGAAACACTTTTCAGGCAAAGCAGAGATGCCTCTGCCTCTGTCAGGAGTGTTGTGTTGCTTTTGTTGTTTAGTCGCTCAGGGGTGTCTGACTCTTGTGCAACCCCATGGACTATCATCCACCTGGCTCCTCTGTCCATGGGATTTCCCAGGCAAGAATACTGGAGTGGGTTGCCATTTCCTCCTCCGGGGATGTTTCCCGAACCATGAACTGAACCTACGTCTCCTGCATAAGCAGGCAGATTCTTTACCATCTGAGCCACCAGGGAAGCCTGTCAGGAGTGTTGGACAAATATAAACAGGGCTGGGCTGCAGGGAGATGCCCCCTGCAGAGCGCGACTCAGGAGGCCACGTGCATGAGGATCCAGAGGCCACCAGGAGGAAGGACTGTGCCCCCCTCCCCACGCCACACGTTTCCCGCCCCATCCCTGCCTCTGCAGCAACGGCAGAGCCTCTGAGCTGGAGAAGGGCAGCAGGAAGGCATTTGCTGAGATGAACTGGTGGTAGTGGGGGCATGGAAACCAGAAGATGCTTGCGGGGCTTCTACGCCTGCTTCTCCTGGACCAAAACAGCTCATCACACCCCTCCTCTCAGCTATAACAGCCTTGTTCCTTAAGTCTTAGGTTAACTGTCATGTCTCTGGGAAGTGTCCCTGACCCCCAACCCCCCAGACCGGGCTGGCTGGGCCTTCTCTGTGCTCCCTAAACATCCTGTGTTCTTGTTTCTACCCAAGCAGGCCTGTGCCCTCAGGGTCTATTACCACCCCAGGAACAAACCGGATGTGCTATGACTCTCAGAATGAAAGAGTGATGGGGCTGGTGAGGGCGTGGCATTCCTGCTTCAGGATGTCAGCAAGCCAGGTGGAGGGGCTGGAACTGGAGGTAGCTGATGCACCTGGTGGCTGCAAGGTCAATGTGGGATCCCCTCTGCTTGCTCAAGGCTGCCTGAACCACAGCTGCAGGGTCTTCCTCAGATCTGACAACTCAAGCCCCTCGGGATCCAGTGCAGACTCCAGGAACCTCCAGGTCAGCCCAAGGCTCTTCAAAGCAAAGAGCTGAGCTGCCACAGGGCCTTGTCCAGCTCCATCCCCTAGATGCCTCGGTTTGCCCCAACCTAGGTGGCCACACTTTGAACCAACCTCACATAATTTCCAGTGGCAGGTTCTGGGCCCCATCCCTAACTCACCGCCCCAGGGACTTTCTAGTATTAGGTTCTTCCAGGGAGGAGACATTCCCATCCCCTCCCAAAAACATCCAGTATGTCCCCAGACTGTCTCCTGAATCTCTCCCTCCTGGATCCCTGGGGAGTGGGCCACTCCTGGGCACTGGGACACAGGAGGACCTTGGTCACACCCACCCTCTGCCTCAGTGCCTCAGTTTACCCATATGTAAAACTTGAGTTGCCCCAGCCCCTTGTCTCTTTACAGGTTTGGGAAATGTCGATATTAAAGCCCTAGCAGCTCTTTGGAAGAAAGATGCTCTATTTTCATGATTTTGTCCTCTAGCTTTCTGCCCACCACCTCCCTGGAACCTCCTGGAATTGCTGCCTGGGCCATACCAGGAGTTCAGGAAGCAAATCATTTCAGGCCTGGGAACATTCAAACACGGGCAATGGTTTTGTCCAAGTGCTTTTAGTTCAAAGGGAAGCAGGTTCAAAGCCACTCAGTGTTGAAGTGGGGTCCTTGAGCCAGAAAAATCCAGGAATGCCCAGCCTTGTCGCTGGGGAAGTCAGCTGGCAGAAGGGACTCTTCAGAAATGTGGGGAGGCCTGTAGAAAGGGCCTCCAGGTGTGGGCCGCCCTGGGCACCAGGCCCAGGACCTCAAGCTGCAGCCGCATGGGCCTGTAGGCGTTGAGGTTGCTGTAGAGGGCGGGCGGGCCGTCATGGGGCCTCGGGGAGAAGTGGGCCTGTGGGGTCAGGGCCCCCCAAGGGCTGTGGTGGGGCTGGAACCTGGAGGCAAGCAGTGGGTTTGGGGCCAGGGGGCTGCCGGGCCCCGAGGACGTGGACAGGCTCTGGGTCCGGGGGTTGCTGCCCGCCGATGGGCTGTTGAAGGGGTTGGAGGATGTGCCGTCACTGGCGGAGCCGCTGCTGTCACTGAGGCGGCCGGACGGGGGCCCGGGGGCTGCTGCGGGCTGCAGGGGTGTGGCCAGCCTGGGCGACCTGAGGCCCATGACAGGCTTGGAGGAGGCGTAGAGGTGGCGGAACTCCTCATCGAACAGCTCCACCGGCTGGCCCGTGAACTTGGAGAGGATGTTCCGGTGCACGTGCCCACAGAGCCAGGTGAAGCTGGAGGGAGAGGAGAGAGGGTGAGGGGGCGATGGGGGGGCCGCGGGCACCCTGCTCCGGAGGAGGACCAGGAGGACGGCAGGTGACTGACTGAACCCCCAGTGACCCCTCCCGTGGATACCCAAGCTGAAGCTCAGAGACAGCGAGTGTGTGTGTGTGTGTGTGTGTGTGTGTGTGTGTGTGTGTGCGCGCGCGCGCCTGTGCGCGTGCGTGTGAAGTCATTTCAGTCGTGTCTGACTCTTCGCGACCCTATGGGCTGTAGCCTGCCAGGTTCCTCTGTCCATGGAATTCTCCAGTTAAGAACACTGGAGTGGGTTCCCATGCTCTCCTCCAGGGGATCTTCCCGACCCAGCCATCAAACCTGCGTCTCCCGCATTGGCAGGTAGATTCTTTACCACTAGTGCCACCTGGGAAGCCCCAGTGAATGTTTGCACGGAAGTAATTAAGATGCAGAGGGAATCCTAGCCTTGGGTCTCCTAGTGCTCAGATGAGAGCCCCTCAGAAGTCCCCATGGAGGCACAGAGTGCTGGCCGAATGCCAGTGTCCCCCCACTGTGCTGCTGGGGGTCACCAGCCTCTGGGGCCGCAGCAGCCCCACCTGTGACATGCACGACATCTGCCTCTTCCAAACAAATGAGGGTCTGGACTGCTCCTTGGATGGCAGGGCTGTGGGCTCATGAAACTCGAAAGGGTGTAGCCAGGTTTTCAGGCAAATGGACTGGAAGGGCTGGGAGGGGAAGGGAGAGTCCTATGCTTTGGGGGAATGGGAAGGAGCATACTGTGGGGGTGGGGGTGGGGACAGGACAGGAGAGATGCTACATGGAAGGTATGCCTGGACACTGCGGGAAGACACCCTCAAGCAGAGGCCCTGAACTTCCCCCTCATTTACACATTTTATTGAAAACAAAATGCTTAAGGCATTTATGTGTTTCTTTTATGATTCCCTAATTTAAATGAATTTCTTTCTATCTCTGATTGAAAACTCTCTTCATCACCCCACTCACCCCTAAAGAGGCAAGTGATAGCACAAAAGACTGTCAGGTTAGTCTTGACAGTCTAACTATCAAGACAATCAATAATGTGGGCCCAGGTCTAGAGCAGTGGATACAGAATGGTCAGAGGGAGACAGGGTCACTGTGCGGAACAGAAGGGTCTCAGGCTGGGACCAAGGGTCTCAGCCTCCAGGCCCCAACTTGTCTTTCCGCCAAAAGGCAGGTCCAGCTTCTGGAGTCCCCTGGTCTGTGAGGCAGGCGGGGCCCATGCAAAGCTGGGGAAATCCTGGGAAGAACAATAAGGCTTTGTCCAAGCCTCACCTCCCGCCCAGGAGCCACCCACACAACCCAGAGAGGCGGCAGCTAATGCTGGCTCTGGTCAGCCAGCTGACAGGCAGGCAGCACACTTGGACAGCAGCACTCTTGGCTACCCTAGGAAGTCAATCGTGGAGCTTCCCTGGAGGTCCAGTGGTTAAGACTGCGCTTCTACTGCGGGGTTCAATCCCTGGTCTGGGAATTAGGATCCTGCAAGCTGCATAGAGTGGCCAAAAAAAAAGAAATCGCCCTGTGTTTTTTGGAATCAGGCTAGATTAGACCAAGCAACTGCATGCTTTCTCTAACAAAGAGGGTCCAAAGGTGCCCAGGCAACTTTTCAGGCCCCACACACCCTGTGTGCCCTGTGCCCCCACCCAGCGCCCCCATGTCCTTACAGCACCTGAGTGCTACCTCCTCTCCACACTCACTGTGTGAGGGTGCGCCTCCCTTACACCCCAAAAGTCTATTCATCCTGTGCTCTAGCTTTTACACTTTCTTTTATCACCACCCATGGTAAGAATTTTATTTTTACTGGGTTTTTCTTTTCTGACCCTTAAGTACATAGGGGCTTTCCTGATAGCTCAGTTGGTAAAAAATCTGCCTGCAACGCAGGAGACCTCAGTTCAATTCCTGGGTCGGGAAGATCCCCTGGAGAAGGGATGGGCTACCCACTCCAGTATTCTTGGGCTTCCCTGGTGGCTCAGCTGGGAAAGAATCCACCTGCAATTTGGGAGACCTGGGTTCGATCCCTGGGTTGGGAAGATCCCCTGGAGAAGGGAAAGGCTACTCATTCCAGTATTCTGGCCTGGAGAATTCCATGGACTATATAGCCCATGGACTTGCAAAGAGTTGGACATGACTGAGCGACTTTCACTTTCACAAGTGCATAGAATTGATTTGATCATAATCTTTGGTTCAAGACTCATGCCAAAGATCTATTAATGGCACATTTACACTTACATAGCTTTACTTGGTTATTTTAAATAACCTAAGCACATATGAACAGGGGAACATGGAAGCCTATGAACAGGGAAGCCTGCTGCAGTCCACAGGGTCACAAAGAGCCAGACACAACTTAGCAACTGAACAACAAGCATCTGTGAACCTACCATGCAAAATAAAAAGCTAGCATCTTGACAATGACCTGCATTTAACCACATGGTCCCTTCCAGGAATACATTTTTCCAGTTTCCCCAAAATAGAAGAAATCATCACCCAGAATCCTGTGTCATAGTTCCCATACTTTCCTTTTGCTATAATAAGAAAAAATATTATATATTCTCAAAAGTACTGTCAGCCTTCCATATACTCAAGGATGAAAAATATTCAGAAAAAAAAGTCTTCCAGAAAGTTTCAGAAACCAAGACTTGAATTTGCCAGTTGGCAACTATTTACATACAGTTTACACTGGATTGGGTATTTTAAGTAATCAAGACATGAAGTATGCAGGAGAATGTGTGTAAGTTATATACAAATCAGATACCATCTGATATGAGGCACTTGGGTATCCTTGAATTTTGGTATCTGTGGGGATGCTAGAACCAGTCCTCTACAGATGATGAGGAACAATGGTAAATATTTTTGTTTTACTTGTTTTTAACATATATGTCATCTTTGGGTTTTTTTTTTTCTCTTAAATATTGCTGGTTATTCATGCTATTTCTTATTGCTGTACTTCACTTGTCTTTGTTGTATGATATTCCACTAGGGGCTCTATCATCCATTCTCTCACTGATAGGCATTTGAGTTGCTTCGATGGTTTTCCTGTTGACCAAGGGAGGAGCACCCTCTCGCACCAATACTTACACTTGTCTTCTGATGTCTCACAGACCAGATTTTCTATCTAGGAGTGGAATTGCTGGGTAAAACCAGGTGAATATTCAGCTTTAGAGGAAATGTCTCTTTCCAAAGTCGCTGTGCTGATTTGAAAACCCATCGGCGATGTAGAAATTTGTAAGTCCACTATTTGTATAGTCAGTCTTTTTTTTTTTTTTTTGATGAATAGGTATAAAATGGTAACTCATTCTAGCCTTGATTTGCATTTTCCTGATCACTGATGATGCTGAACATCTTTTCAGGCGTTTCCTCCTGCATGAAATGCCTGCTCTCACCTCTCGCCCACACTTCCATTGTGCTGTTTTTCATGTGTGGTTTGTGGGAGTTCACTGTGATTCTCAGCGCTAATCTTGTCAGGGCATCATGAAAACCTGTTTCCAGTTTGTAATCTGACATTTCACTTACTTTAAACTGTCTTTCAGTGAACCAAAGTTCTTAACTGTAGCATAGTCAGATTTAGCAATCTTTCTTAGTCAGTGCTTTTTTGTGTTCTGTTTAACACAAAGGAGTGTCTATGTTAAGACACCTAATCCTTATCCTAAGGTCTAAAAGACATCCATCTCTATATTTTACTAAAAGTATTAAAGTTGTTTTTGACATTTAATTTCTTTTAATCTATTGGGAGGTGATTGTGCGTTTGTGCACGCATGTGTGTGTATATGTGAAGTAGAATCCAGTTTTTCACATGGAGAATTTTTCTCCCGGTTTCACTGGGAGCTGGGTTCCCTACAGCTCTCAGGAATGAGTGGCCTGGTGTGTCCTCAAGCCCACTGCCACCCTCCTCCTGACAGTGAAAGTGGCTTAGTCATGTCCCACTCTTTGAAGCCCCAAGGACTGTAGCTCTCCAGACTCCCCTGTCCATGGAACTCTCCAGGCAAGAATACCAGAGTGGGTAGCCATTCCCTTCTCCAGCAGATCTTCCCGACCCAGGAGTTGAACCGGGATCTCCTGGTTCACACTGCAGGTGGCTTCTTTACCAGCTGAGCTACCTGGGAAGCTCTGGTGCCCCCCATATCAAGCCCAGCCTGCAATCCTGGTTAAGGAAGCTGGTGACCCTGGCCCAATCACCCAACCTCTATGTGCCTTAGTCCCCCCATCTGTCAGTCAGAAGAATGATGCCTCCCTCTACATGTGACAAAGATTAAATCCCTACTAAAGGTCTGATGGAACCTGGCCCAGGTTCAATAAAGTGGTTCTGCTTCCTTCTGCCTTTTCCAAGGTCAAAGCCACCCTTGAATGGTGAGCTCTAAGGGCAAATACACATGAACACAGAGAGGCCTGATTGTCCTTATGGAAAATAAGAGAAGGCCTTCCCCCTCCTTCATCTTCTCTTTCAGAATTTCTTTCTCTGTCCTTTTCAAACATAAGGGAATCTTTTTAATAGCTAAATAAGGGTGGTTTACCACCTGGTGGCTCAGGTGGTAAACAATCAGCCTGCAATGTGAGACCTGGGTTCAATCCCTGGGTTAGGAAGATCTTCTGGAGAAGGGAACAGCAACCCATTCTAGTATTTTGGCCTGGAGAATTCCATGGACAGAGAAGCCTGGCAGTCTACAGTCCATGGGGTTGCAAAGAGTTGGACACAACTAAATGACTTTTACTTTCACTTTCAAGGCACTTGCCAGTCACACTCCCAGTTCCTCCGAGATGGGGACAGGGGAGGTAACTGCTTAGTGGTGGAGGGGGCCGTGGATATGCCCTCGCCACGTCTACGGATGCCACTATGACAGGAGATGGACATACTTTAGGCCAAAGGAATTTGAGAAGCAGGTGCAGGAAGGACTTTCTGACCTCCCCCTTGTCCCTGAAGCTGGTCACACTTTAAATGGATGCATTATCTGGCATATGAATTAATATCTCTATACACTGTCTATATTAAAATAATGAAACATTTTGAAAGTAAAATAGGACCCCAAAAAACAACAAAGCAAATTGCACGGCTTTAGAATCACACCTGAGAACTCTGAGAAAGGAAATGAGGAAACGTCCTATTGCAATGCAAAGGGAAACCAAGGCACTTGGAACTGTCTCCCTACCCGGAATTCCTCCCAGGAGGGACCCAGATTTTCCTCTTTCTCCCAGGCGGGTTCTGTCTCCAGCCTCATGTAGGTGATGAGTCCCCAGTTCCCTCGGGAGCTGCTGGTGGGGGCGTGGGCCTGAGCAGTTGGGGCTGCTTTGCACCAAGCTCAGCCTTGGTCTCCTCGAAGCCCCAACAGAAGGTGGAACCCAGCGCTCACCTGTACGATCCACACAGGACGTATCTCCAGTCCGAGATGATGAACTTCTCCCGGATTTGGCCGGAGAACTTCCTGCCTGACTTGGCACAGTACACCTCTCCTTCCACGCTCCGGATGGAGATGTTCTGTTGGAAGGGAAGTCGAGGTGTCCTCACTATGTATTTATGGATACACATCTGTCTAGAAAATGTCTGGAAGGATGCTCAGCAATAGCAAATGGGTTATCGCTAGTTGGTGGGATTATGGGCCATTTTTATCCTCTCCTTGGCTGAATCTTCTAAATTTTCTTCCATATCCTGACATTATTTGAGTAATGAAGAAGAACAGAAAGGGGAGATGGTAGAATTCAAACAAAGCAGAAAACAGGAGTGATAGGATGCTCTTCCAGTTCAGGCCCTAAGCACATCCCTCGGAATCCTCCCGTCCTCTCTCCCCCTGTCACTGTGTCTCGGGGGCTGTGTGTTCCTTATGGTGCAGCTGCATAGCTTTCGGGCAGGATGGGGTTGAGGTCCTCTGAATCCAAGTCCAGGGGTGTGAGTTCAGCTGCTTCTGATGGGGAAAGTGATCACATCACGGATTTATGGTACCCTTCATTAGTGTCTAGGGCTTCCCTGATAGCTCATTTCGTAAAGAATCTGCCTGCAAAGCAAGAGACCCCAGTTCAATTCCTGGGTCAGGAAGATCCACTGGAGAAGGGATAGGCTATCCACTCTAGTATTCCTGGTCTTCCTTTGTGGTAAAGAATCTGCCCGCAATGCGGGAGACCTGGGTTTGAACACTGGGTTGGAAGATCCCCTGGAGAAGGAAAAAGCTACCCACTCCAGTATTCTGGCCTGGAGAATTCCATGGGCTGTATAGCCCATGGGGTCACAAAGAGCTGGACACGACTGTGCCTCACTTTCACAGTGTGAGGAAGGGCCATCTGACCTGGACTTTGAGCAAGAAGTAAATGTTTACTGTAGTGAGATGGGGGCATGTGTTACCACAGCATAACTTATCCTATCCTCACACGAAGTACCTTTCACACCATCACGGGGCCCTACCTTGAGGTGAGTGTCAGAGATCTGGGCTTTGTCACACATCTCCTGGAAGAGCTTCACGCCTCCCTGGTCCAGGAGCACACAAACGAACACCCCACGCTTGTTGGCCGCCTCTAGGATGTCACAGAAGATCTCCACGTCCGTGAACACGTCCATCAGGATGGCCAGGACCTGGGCCAGGGCAGAGGGGTCGGACGCCAGAAGGTCAGGGCCAGGTGCTAACTGGTTTCGGCCTAACTCCTTAGTCCCAGCGGGCCTGGGAGAGCTGGTCCCGTGAGTGCTGCGCTGGAGGTGGTGGGAGATGACGGGGCAGGACTATGGACGCTCGCAGAGCTGCGGCGGGGCCCTACCCCTCGTCTCCAGCCCCTCCTCATATCCTCTGGCCTCTCTTCCCACTGCTGGAGTGGAAAGTGCAGAGGAGAAAGGAGAGAAAAGCAAAAAGAGGAGGCAGAGAGGCGGAGATGAGACCAGGCGAGGTGCTGGGGCAGAATCACAGGAGAGGGACAGATTTACAGTTATGGGTTCTCAGCTGTTTGGAGCTCGAGGGCACTCTATGGCCACTGGCTTTCAATGTTTTTAAGTCTCAAACCAGACCCTTGTGGAGACCCCAGGAAGTATAAATGAGACTGGATCCTGAGCTGCCCCAGTGGGTGGAGAAGAGAGTCCTGCTCAGCCAGCAAGTACTGCGTCGCCGGCAGAGCAGAAACTTGGGGGTGAGGGGCCTAGATATCCAGTCACAGGGAGAGGAGTGCGTGTTCTTGCCAGGCACCCATTCATCCAACTTGTGTCAACAGCACCCCAGGCTCATTTTATCTTATTTTTGACCACGCCGCAAGGCTTATGAGATCTTAGTTCCCCAGCCAAGCATTGACAAGTAGATTATTCAGCAGCCATTAAAATGATCGTTATAATGGTTCCATAGAGACTATAAGGAATAGTGAAATGTTTAAGCAAAATTTGCTGTTTAGTATAATGCTCACCAAATATGTATTAACAATTAACTAAGTGAAAAAAGAAAACAAAGGACAAAAGGCCAGAATGTCTACTACGATTGCCAGGGAGGGAAGGCGGTGTATACGTAGACAAGTGCAAAACCAAAATGGCAGTCGTATTTGGCTGGGGGACTATGGTGACTTTTTTCTTCAATGTCACCTGTAATAATAATGTTCTGCCACTTTTCTAATAATTACATTTTTTTCAGACCATAAACACCTGGAAGTAGCAAGAACAAGAAGAGCATCACAGAGAGAGAGAAGGAGTTGGCTGGCACCTACATGGAGCTGACTTGCTGCTCAGTTGCTCTGGGTGTCTGGACAGTGGAGGGGACCGCTGAGAAATTGTTCACCCTGGGTTATAGGTCACTAGAGATGTTTAGAACCATGGCTCTGTTAATACACAGTTAAGTACATGTGTGTGTGTTAGTAGCTCAGTCATGTCTGACTCTTTGTGACCCCATGGATGGTAGCCCACCAGGCTCCTCTGTCCATGGGATTCTCCAGGCAAGAATACTGGAGTGGGTTGCCATGCCATCCTCCAGGGGATCCTCCCAAGCCAGGGATCGAACCAGGGTGTCCCTGGGCAGATTCTCTACCGTCTGAGCTGCCAGAGAAGCAAACGGTTAAGTACATGTACACATTAAAGCTTATGGCACCAATAACTCTGAGGACCTCTCTCCTGAAAGACAAATGCCTCCTCCTCCAAAGTATTGGCAAAAGAGACAATTCTGTCCCCTTAGGAGGTCAGTAAATCCTCCCAGCTGTGTCCCAGTGAGTCCCTGTTTCCCAGAGCCAGGCTGGTAAGTGGGTGACTAATGGACAGAGAAGTGTTTTTTGTTGGGTTTACAAAAAGCCCAGCATCCTAATGTAAGGGATGCTTGGAAGGACAGGCTTATGAGTATCCAGGTTCATTTTTTTTGCCTCCTGTTGGCACTGTCTCCCAGCTGGATCAATTCAAGGTCAATAACGTCTTCCAGGGGCTCCCCAAGTGACATTAGTTAAAGAACCTGCCTGCCAGTGCAGGAGACACGAGACTCGGGTTCAATCCCTGGGTCAGTAAGATCCCCTGGAGGAGGCATGGCAACCCACTCCAGTATTCTTGCCTGGAGAATCCCCATGGACAGAGGAGCCTGGTGGGCCGCAGGCGATGGCATGGCAAAGAGTAGGACACGACTAAGGTGACCAGCACGCAGGCATGCGCTTCTTCCATCCCCTGTGTGAGAGTCCCCACTCACAGGGCCCGGTGAGCCGAATGATGAAATCCCAAAAGGTGCGTCTACATTTTAACCGCCAAAACCATGGCTGGGACCTCATTTGGAAAAAAAAGTCTTTGCAGATGCAGTTAAGACTCTCAAGCTGAGATCATCCTGGACGTTCTGTGCATGTGTGCTAAGTTGCTTCAGTCGTGTCTGACTCTTTGAGACCCTGTGGACTGTGGCCCACCAGGCTCTTCTGTCCATGGGATTCTCCAGGCAAGGATATTGGAATGGTTACCAATTCCTTCTCCAGAGGATCTTACTGACCCAGGGATCGAACCTGCATCTCTTACGTCTTCTGCATTGGCAGGTGGGTTGTTCACCACTGTACCACCTGGGAATCTTCTTAGGGTCAATCAGACGGACCAGCATGGAGGCATGGGGCTGGCTGAGAAGGAGAAGGAGGTATTTCCTATGCTAAGGAAGGAAGTCGGTCTGGGAGCACAGCCTGGCTGGGCAGCTCTGGAAATCTGGAGCCTCAGAGAGATGGAGGGACCCAGTCAGGGGGCTGCAGGTCTGCTGGGGCAGTGCCCACAAGCAGCATTCATCCTGCGGAGACCTCGAATCGTGGCTGAGGACCCTCCACTACCAGCCAGGCAGACATGAGTTTCTCATGGGCTGGAAATCCCGCTGCCTTGGGGAAGGCAGGAGGCGGGAGGGGAGAGGCGCTTTGGGTCCTGATGGGGCCACCAACCATGTTGGGGCCAGTTGTTGGAGGCACTTACCACCCCACACCCCACTTTGTCGTTTGATTGCTACTCTTCCCTCTTTCTCTCATAGGTGCTGATGCTCCCTTAAAAAACAAAACATAATTTTCACTCTTTATTTATTTATGCCTCGCGGCATGCCGGATCTTAGTTCCCTGACCAGGGATTGAACCCGTGCCCCCTGCAGTGGAAGCGTGGAGTCCTGGGGTCCCTGATGCTCCCTTTTTGTGTTTACTTTTGGTTGATGTGTAATAACCACAGCAACGATTTCCTGAGCACCTACTCTCAGCCGTACGTTTGTTTCCTGTGACCTTCACAACACCATGACCCTGACCTCCCTGGTGAAGAACAGGGGTGCAGAGACATTAAGTAACTTGCCAAAAGCCTCAGGGCTGGAAGGCTGGAGATGCCCTAGATTGCAACCCAGAGCCACACTCGCAACCAGTCTACTGTGGGCTAAGAGAAGGACTCATCTCAGTTTACATCAGATGCAGTCTGTCCCTTCTCTGCTTGTGGGTTAGGGATGGGTAGGGAAGGAGAGTCAAACCTGGGAGGGTTGGGGGACCCCAGAAAGCAGAGCTCAAAGAGAATGTGGGCAGAGAGGGCCCAGGTGGACCCTCCACCATCACCTATCTGCTGACCACAGGGTGAGGGGCCGAGACCCCTTAGAAAGGCAGCTGCGAGAGGCCCATCCGCTCCAATCATGTGCCCCCCGCTAGTGTCACCTCTGCTGGGCCTCGTGCTTCTTGCCCTCAATGCCCTTCTGCAGCAGTGACAATACACCAGCGCTGAGCCCCAGCACCCAGAGCGGAAGAGGGACTTACTCTAGGGAACCCCCGTTCGAAGGGACACCGGCCTGCAGATCCCAGGAGGATGGTGGGGGCGAGGGGTGGGCAAGGAGCACTTCCACTGGCCTTTGGAGGCCACCCCACCCCATCCTGGTGGGACTGGGCTCTGATGCCAGTGGAGGCGCCCTGTTGCCCGTGACCTCCACAGGCCTGGGGGGCTGGACCCCTCACTCCCAGGTCTGCCCCTCCCTCAGTGGCCCCTGTCAGAGGAACAGCCAGGGAGCTCGCCATGGGGACCCTGGTGGTGCTCAAGGCCCTGGAGTCCCAGTTACTAGGTGTGGGGCGGGGGACACGCTCAGCTTCCTGGGTGCGTGGTGGGGTGGGGGCAGGTTTCCTGCTGGGTCCCATCCCTAGGCCTTGTTCTCTGTTCAGCTGCTCTCAGGGCAGGGGCTCAGCCTGGAAAGGTGGTCCTTGATGCCTAGGGGTGGGGCATGGAGCTTCTTTGGAACCGGCTTACAGCTGCCTCTTTGCTCCTCTGCATGCCCTACTGCCCCACCACCTCCCCAGGGAGCTGGGTGGAGTTTTCTTTCTGCAAGGAAAGGGAGAGGAAGAGGAATCTGGCAGGGCCGGGGGGACCTGTCTGTTCAGGGTCTCCCTTTGGCCTCAGGACCCTTTTACACTCTTAAAAATTACTGAGGCTTCCAAATAGCTTTGTTTATGTGGATTATAACTATTGATATTTGTCATATTAAAAACAAACTGAGAAAACATTTAATGTTTATTAAACATTATTTTAAAACAACTAATCTTTGCTACTTAAAGCAAGATTAAACTCATCACATGCTAACATGAATAACAATTTTAAGGCAAAAATAACTATACTTTCAGAGCAACAACAACACAATGGAGTGAACAGAATGGCATTATTTTTCAGTTTTGCAAATCTCTGTGGTGTCTGGCTTAACAGGAGACAGCTGGTTCTCATATGGCCCCTGTAGCAATCTGCTGTGATGTGTTGTTTGCGGGGAAGCATATAAAGATAGTCCAACCTCACACAAATGAGTGGTTAGAAAGGGCAATACCTCAAAGACCCACTGGAGGGGTCTTGGAACCTTTGGGGATCCTGGACCACACTTGGAGGATGGCTTGTTCATGTTTTTTGTTTTCTGTATTTTGTGATACTTTGACATCCCAGGGTTAGTTTATTATTAGAGATGGCAAACACCTTGCCTACGAGCAGCCTCTGAGATGCTAACCAAGCAATCCAGACCCATGTCCCAAGCCTTCTTTTCTAACTCTCCAGCATCCTAACAATATTTCCTTTCCCACCCTAAATCACCCCAGTGCCAAATACAGGACAACCAGGGACCACCTGTGTCTCCGAGCCTGCGGAATTATTCAAACGAACCAATTGTCACCAATTTA